CATGGGCTTTGTTGCAGGACCCGTCACCTACCTGGAGCCGGTCGGGGTGCAGAAGCCGATGGCCAACATGGTCATCGGACCACCTGTCATGGCGTCTCCGGCTCCCCCACCCTCAAAGGCCGAAGAACCCAACGCTATCCTAGAGTTAACACGAACGCTGGTAAACCTCATGCAGGAAAGTAAGAGGGAGCAGCGGGAATATAACGCCCGAATGGAAACACTACTCCGCTCGATGCGCCCCATTACGGTTCGAGCTACTCCCACGGGAACGGGAGCCATGCAGGCAACAGGTGCCGTCGCGACAGGAACAGGTGCATGAGTCAACGGTTGCTACACGTGTCACCAACCCGGACACATAGCACGAGATTGTCCCAACCGACCCCCACCAGCACAGATCGGACCAGTGCCAGCGGCCGCAACACCTATTGCTAACGGACCAGGACGAGTAGCCATGATGGTAGAAGAGACTGACAGCGGTGCAAGCCCGTCGGGGGTTATGGAAGAAGCAGCAGAGCTTATCCCACTAAACCAATACCTATCACTAGGATACCTCGGCCTTGGAATGATCGGGGCTATCCAACCTGCCCCCGACAATAACGAGGTATTGGAATGGAGGTCATCCCCGAGCGAAATAAAATCCGGAGGACCCACGTTTGTTACGGGAGAAATCGATGTACTGGATATAGTTCGAGCATTGAATCACCGCATCCCCCTACCAATCGGACACTTGTTGTCCATCTCCGACCAGGCTAACGACCGGATGCTACAGCACTGCCAGGCAAACCGTTTTCGGTTTGCCCTTGCCAAACTAACAACCGCGAAAGGAAAGGCTCCCGCCAGAGATCCAGGCCGGATAGGTTGAGCACCTTAGAACCCGTTCAGATGGGCCTGATCCGGAAAGATGATCACTTCCTATGGATCAGGGCCCTACCATGGAGATCCGCAGAGTGTGACGTGGAAGTCTGGGGCAACCGCCACAGTGCAGTCCTCGACTCCGGAACCGCGGTCCTGGCTATCTCCCTACGGGTGGTCGAGCGGGCCGGAAGGCGGAAGGATGTGATTCCGCTCGCAGAAGGCGATCATTTCGTCTCCGTCGATGAAGGTAAGATTCGAGTTGTCGGGAGGATGGAAAATGTCGCCTTCCGAATAGGAAAGGTCCATGCCTTAGGCGATGTAGTGGTCCTAAACGTGAGCACATACGATGTTCTTGTCAGATTGCCGACACTCACAGCCTTGCAGGCCACGTTGGACTTCGAGCGATGAGCAGTCATCCTCAAAAACACGGGAGGGAAGCCATACACAGTTCCGATCAGTGTCATCACCCGTACGTCGTACAGGGGGTCGCTGTACGGCCCGTGCGTACGGACGGACGAACGGCCGTACGCCGTACGGGCGTACGGACGACGACCGTTCGAAGGTGTTTTAGGGGCAAAAACAAATAAAAAAAAGAAATAAAAATATGGGGTTGTAGATCTTTTCGAGATCTAGAAACCCTTTTTTTTGGCCTTAAAGAGAATTTTTAAAAATCAAAAACAAGAAAAAAAAGAAAAAAAAGAGAAAAAGAGAATTTGGTAGCAAACAAAAACGGGCAGTTGCCCGCATGCGTGTGTTTGTGTGTGTGTGTGTGTGTGTGTGTATGTGTGTGTGTGTGTGTGTATGTGTGTGTGTGTGTGTGTGTGTGTGTGTGTGTGTGTGTGTATGTGTGTGTGTGTGTGTGTGTTCGGTAAACCGTAGGCAGAGAGAGAGAAGAG